GTGCATCCCTAGTTAAATGCAGAGTGTCTCCAATGTGAGATCAATGAAGTTAAATTATTATTATTTATTATTATTATTTTTCAATAGAACAAGACAATTTACATTTAAAATAATAAAGAAATCAACTGCATTGTCTTTTTTAAATGCATGTTATCTAATTTTCTTATTTAAAGAGTAAAGGTACTCATTTGATTGATAAATGATATTGTTTACCTACTATAATTAAGGGTAAATGCACATAATTTAAGAAAAGTTGACAGATGGTTTTTGCAGTGTGGTCAAAGATAAGTAGCTGGGATTTCTCAGACGTGTCCGATAGCCTCATTAGGTGGATTACTGACCCTGGTTGTGTGGAATAATTTCATGTCTGTGTGTAAAGGAAGATGACCTTAAAGTATTTGTACAAGTTATTTTGCTCTGTTTAGTACTTTCAAAACCATGAAAGTTTCCTGGGTGAGTTTCTAATTGTGTCTTTGGCTGAAAAGTGGGTAGAGCTTGTTTTGATCAGATGGTTTTCTGCTTTACGTGATTGTTTCTCTCTTGTTGCTCTCCATGGAAAGACCATTGCTTAAGGTAAGGACGGATCATCTGTTATCGAGCAGCCCAGACCACAGGAGCAGCCTAAGGAAGTCTCTCTTTGTCTTTTTGCCGTCAGATTGCCATCTTACCCGTACAACGTTCCTCTCTGTAACGGCAGTCAGACCAATGTGACCTACCTTCAGGGGGACTTCTCCTCCTCTGCAGAGTTCTTTGTATGTGTTGGTGTTTTTGGCTTCCTGTACTGCACTGCTACTCTGGTCCTCTACCTGGGCTTCCAGCACGTCTATCGTCAGACCAGCCGTGGTCCCATCGTTGTAAGTATTGCTCTCAGCTTTAAGGTTTCTGTCAGTCTGAAGTCTTTGACTGGATGCATTAGGCTCGATGTTCTTAAATACAAACGTTTTATTTACCGATTTCCCTCAAACTCAACTGAACTGCAGTTCTAACAAGGATCAACGAAAGTGGATGATTGAACTGATTACAGATTTCTGTAAAATGAGCTCATCATTCGTTTTGTATGGAAGCCCAATAGATTCATAATTAAATAAATAAATAAACAAATTATGAAATAAATACAATTTTGATAAATAACAAACAAATATATAATATAGTCACGAAATAAAAACATGGTAATGTTATGAAATATATATCTTTATTCTTTAATATCTACTTATTATTATATTTATCATAATTGAATATTTCATGATAATTATTTTCACAATATGCTTTTTTAAATAATTACTTTTTATTTCATTTTCCAAGATTTTGGAAAATAAAGAACTTTTTTCCAAAGTTTGTCTTTATTCCATAATGACATTCTCCACA